AACACAAATGAAAACCAAATCTGCATGCCCTGTTTCACATCTAGAAGTATGGGATTTGCGGTGGATTAGCTCTAAATTTCACTTGGCTTTGAATTTAAAACCTCTTCGTGAGATCTTTAACACTGATCAAATTCTTTGCACCTCGAAAAGGAAGCGAGATCTAAACTCTACTGGAAATCTCACTTTTATTTTTCTTTTAGCACTTAAAACGTATTTTGAATATAATTCAACTGTCTTGGAAATGAATTGACCTTTTAAATCAATTCCCAGATACCCGACTTCTGCCAGCTAAAACAAGTTCTGCAGATGTTAATGGCTCATGTCAATACTGTGAATGAATAGGCAGAAAACACATCACTGAATGTCTCCAGTGAGGACAACTGCCAGTCTCCCATCTCTGCTTTCAGTTTTTTGTGCTGGTCAGGCGCGTGGGAGCAGAGGACTCATTGACCGTTTATAAGCTGCTGTTTAATATGCAGAAATGCTTTATCAGGAAAATGAATGTGAAGCTTTAGCTGCCACGCCTCTGTTGGGAGGTGGAATTTAGGAAATAATACCAGGGGAGGCAGGTCTGAAGTTTCTTTGCTAATACTGGTCTTGAACACTATGGGTTTTTGTAGATTATCTACCAAAACCGCTTTTCCCATCGCTGTATTGCAATGTCATTGTCTAGATACTCCATCGCCGTAAATCGCAGCCAGAAAAAATAAATACAGATTTGGCAGGGGGTCACGTAAAGCTCTTACTCCCGGTAGCCAACCAGCCACAGCCGTAGGTGTTCACTTAAATTATTGGCTCTTTCTAAAGAGGTCTTTTTTTTTTTTTCTCTGAAATGTCTGACTCCTTCCTAGCAGAATAAAACCTTTTCTTTCAAATGATTGGTCACATCCAGGTTTTCTGGTAAGATCCCAAAACAATGGAGTGTTTCTAGTTTCCAGAAGCTTTGATTAAAGTCAATAAGGTGATACTTTCCCGGCGAGTTGTGCTAGGAGACAGATTCGCTGTGAATTTAAAATAATCTAGACTCCTCCCCAGTGGGACTGGTATTTTCTTTCTGCACCCTTGGCTTTGGTTGAGTCAAAAGAGGGACTTTTATGTGTTTATAGTAATTTAGGTGTTGTTTTATTTAGCATGGGATAGGTTCCTGATGTTATCATTTAACTACAAATCTCAATCTAACCTGAAATCAGCCTTGTGGTAGACTACCTCACTGTTAAAGACGTTTTCTTTCCCCTTTAAAATATGTAAACTTGAATGTCAGAATATTTGTGTGAAAATGTAGAGTCCTATATTGAAAGGTTCTGTTCTTATCTAGTCATTCTTTTGAGGAAAAAAAACATTAGAATATTAACTTTTAAAAATGCAGTGAGTAAATTTCTTAAAACACATTTACCTCCCTTTCAGTAGGAAAAATAAAATGATAAAAATGTGTTGATAGCTTTCCACTTAAACAGTTTCTGTCATAAAGCAGTTAATTTATGCATTTTAAAATACACTTTGAACTCAGACATGTTGCTTTCTTTGCGAAGTACTTTGAATTTGAAACTTTCTGTAAATATTCATTGATTTGAGGGAAGGTCTTAAATTTCGAGCTCATAGTTGCCTTTGAGTCGGCACCAAATGTTGTGTACAGAGAAGCTACATTCACATTTATGAATGTTTGCCCATGCACAAATTTATTAACATAAACTTCTCATCCTAGCATTGATTATTGAAGATGCATTTAAAGCTATAACTTTGAGCCAAATAGTGTCCATTAGGTGAATATGGTATGCAGACAGCCTCGGCTTTCTTCAAACCCACAAAGATTGGACTGCATCTTCGTAGCCTAGAGAGGCGTAATTGAAAGTTCGTATTTAAAATTTCCTTATATTTCCATTATACCCCTAGAAATCTGAAAGAGCTTCTTAGAATGTATTAGTACAATAGATCACAGCTGCCATCAGGGAAAATAGTCCCATCACCGGGAGTATCACAAATACGTATTTATATAATCCACTTCTCAAAAAGACCAAATGTGAAAAGACAATAGCATTAAAGTCTGTTTTGTCAACTTGCAAATACCGGGAAAGAATAAACTTAATTTCACATGAAGATGCTCTGTTGTTTTTGAATTTGCATGGACCAGTGATCTGATTCCTCGTTTCAGGGCAATGTTCAAAATTTTTCTGTAAATGCACGTGGCAAAGCAAGCAGGAATTTCAGATTTGACTCTGATTTCTGTGCTTCTGTTACTGTTGTTGCTGTGTGTGTTACAACCCAGACGCGATGTGGACTTATTTTCCATGTGCTATCGCTACTTTGTTTTCTTGTCCATCTCACAAAGCAGACGTTTGTTTTTATACACGCTCAGTCGTTCTCTTACACTACAGAAAGGAGGAAGATCAG